GCATCCTCTTCTTCTGAACTGCTTCCTGGAACTCGTATATTCTCTACTATTGTCGGGGGTTAGTCAAGCGAAATCGTAGAGTAATCCCAAAGTTGTTACGGGGGTCGGGCAGATTTGCTTAATCCAGTTGACCCAATTGCGAAAAATTCGCGGCCACGGTGTAAATCGAACCCACACAGCAGGTAAGGCTTTTGCGCAGCCGGGGCTCTACCATTGAGCTACGAGGCTTACCGTACGCCGTGAATTTAATCACACTGGGATCGATTTTACCCGCTCAACTTACCGCTCGTATGCAATCCACCATTACGGAACAGCAAGCGGACTGTCTAGGCAGGATTTCTCAAGCAATCATCTAGAATCCACCAGAATGACTACTAGGCTCACTTGATTGTTAAGGGGGTTTGGCAGACCGATTAAACTGTGATTAACTTGACGGCGCGCGGTGAACCGCGTAGCTTAATGGTAGAGCGTTGGCTGCGCAAAAGTCCTCCCTGCTATGTGGGTTCGACTCCCGCCGAGGTCGCGAATTTGTGTCAACTGAATCAATTCCAAAGTATCCGAGGCAGACTAGGATTCTGACTTTTTTAATGAGCATCGTTCCCGGTCACCCGTGAAAACGATACTCGACGTGAAATGACTACTCATGTACTGTGCTCCTTTTCTCCTGATTTTTAAGTACTGTTCAAATTCCGTCATATTCTGTGGAAAGTTTCGATTTAAATATCTTTTCCACGTGTTTGTAAAAAAAACTATCACCTTAAAATTGTGTATTTAAAAAGCGAGAGTGTGTTTATGGATCTCAAAATGCACTACTTCCCTGCTACCGGGTTTGCTTCTAGGGCCTTCAAAGTGCATTCTTTTTATTTTCAATTTAGGTAAACTTGTGCAAGTTTCGCTTAGTATTAATGGAAGAGTTACACCCAATTTTGAGAAAACTCGCGGTATCGAACCCGCCCAGCAGAGAAGGCCTTCACACAGCCAACGCTCTACCGATTTGAGCTACGATGCCACGCCGTGCGCCGTGAATTTAATCACACTTTGATCGATTTTACCCACCTAACTTACCGCTTTTATGGAATTCCCATTACGGAGACAGTAATCTGACTGCCCAAGCAGGATTTCCTAAGCAATCATCTAGAATCCACCAGAATG